CGGTCGCCGTTGTCGTCGATGGTCACGTTCTCTGTGATGCCTGGCCAACACGCCCAGCGGTGCACAGTGACAAGGCAACTCGCTGATTCGTCCCGCTACTCAGAACTACACAAACACTTTATTAACCCTTCGACCCTGTTTCTCCAATACTTACGTGGATTGTGTTTGGGGTCATTTTTGACCCCAAACGTTTGACAAAATTATTTACAAGCATTTCATGAACGGGCTTTTTTTTGGAATTATTTATTGAGATAGTGATGCTGTTTCTTTCCTTTATTTACTAAATTTCAGTAAATGATTAATAATGTTTCCAGTAAAACTATCTAGCATATCCTTATAACTACACATGGATGTCTATCTTACCGACATGAGAATGTTTGCAACAGAGCTACCAAATTGTAATTGACAAATACACCAAATTATCACTCATAAACCGCAACATAATACTACAAAAAGGAAATTCACATGTTTTAAAAATTTATTTTGTAGTTTGGACGTCAAATGTTACATTCCTGACCCAACCACAGAGAAATCACATTACTTCCAACAAAAAACTTTAAAAACTGAGAGATTTACAACACATGTACAATAGGAGTACAATAGCATGTCTAAATAGAAAAGTTCAAAATTTTTAGTGTATTACGAAACATTATTTGCCCCTGGGGTAAAAAAAGACCGCAAACAATGCCTAAGGGCTAATATAATATTTATAACAAATAAAATATCTTTTTATAATATATAACTGAAATTATTAAACAGATTCTTAAACATAACATATAAGATTTAATATCACTTATATTTGATCGCCTTCAATTCATGAGTGACTTTAATAACACTTTTTCTTTGCTCAAGTATGTCTTTATTGCCGTCAGAATTACAGTGTCATTTTAATAGCGGAGGATTCATAATGACATTAAGAAGTAAACAAAGTGGGGCACGATTCTTGCACTCATACTCTCACTGAAGCATGAACAGATAACTACCTCTTATTTATGGCCGTATACACTGTGGCATAATCTTGTACGATGGTTTTATACGATGAAAAAAGTTTTAGTATATGTAATAGGGTTCCACTCTGTTTACTCACTCCAGAGAATTATGTTCCTCGCGCTTTCGTGCTTTCGATAGCAGCGATAGCGATTCGAAGGCTCTCTAGTGCCTGTACGCTTTGAAGTGAATTTTCACTCTTCATAACCAAATAGAAAATAATGTATACGAACTCTATTTTGGGATGATTTCTGGTAAACAAAAGTTACAAAATTACAAGGATTAGAACTGGACACTGCAATCTAAGCCATCTGTATTTATTGAAAAGAAACCCAGCCCCTATATGGGACCACTGTAATATTCCTAATAACATATCCCACATCATTGACCAATACCCCCTATATAACCCTGACAGAAATACATTTATAATACGAGCCCGAAGTTAATTCTTACGTCTAGTGACAATCAAGAGAGACACAATTATATGCTGTGACCTACTGAAATATGAGTGTTTGAGTAAATGTGTTAATTGCAATCAATCTGAATTTTTGTAACTGGTTATTAACTACACAAAACGTATGCATGTGAATATCTACCAAAATTGACCAAGCATGTATTATAATAGAACAATATGTTAACTGAAATCAAAATATGTAAAATCTAAGTATTACACGCATAACTGTACCCTTTAATAATTACCAAGTATGTATTTATTATTGTTAAATCAATGTAATAGAATTGAACCAGTTTTGAATCGCTAATGACCGTAGATGTTCATGCGACTATAAATAAATAAAAAAGTTACTAAAACCTTGTTTGAACCTCCACCGAATGGCAAAAATAGCAATTATGACCAGAAATGTGGATAACGATAGACTATTGAACGCTATAATGTGACGCAGTCAGCTTTAAGAATGTATTCACTAAACCTTATTGAACTCCAAGACATTCTGATCTTCCATAAAGAATATTTTCACTATTAATATACTTATAATATCTCTGATTTAAAAAATAATAAACTTTTTCTCTGCGTCATTTGAAAACGATGCACACAACGATGTACACGGATGATCACCAACACTGTGTTTTATTAACGTGTAAACAAGAGGGAATGTATAACTTTGTAGCAAATGTGACATATTATAGATGTTCTAGATATTTATAAAAATAAAATATTTTAGAAATATAAACCATTACACATATGATGAAACTTCTTTGTTATTGAAAAACTTCATTTATCCTTAACACTTCGGCTCCTGAGTTCTCAGCGATTTTACAGAACTTGATTCCGATTCTCCGTGCCAAAGCGGACGTTCTGAGTTCTTGATGCTTTACTCTTACGAATAATAAACGATGCGCAGCACGAACAAACAAATCAAAAGTACGCAAAATTACGCAATCTAGGGCGAACCTAACAAAATGAAACGATGAATATCCCTTCCAAGAACTCCTGAGTTATCAAAAATAATTAACAAAAAGTAAACCTCTGAATGAATTGTCTGGATACATGTAAAGTTTCTGCAAACTTGAGAAATATGGGACCTAGCACCTGACTTTCAAATCTCAGTTCGCGAATTCAAATCAGGCTGGGAACGGTAGTTTTCTAAAGGTGTAAAATCCTCTGTGTGTAATACCACACTTGTATCATGTAAAAATTAGAGCCACTGCAAAGGCACATACTTTCTCGCGTTATTTGTAACTGCAACCGTCATATATACTACTACATAACCCCGAAAAATGTTTTCAACCAGCAATTTTCTCCGCTCTCTCCGAGACCCGATTGCCGATCCTCAAAGTCTACGTGCCGACACTGATACCTCTACGTCACAGAAGCGCCGTATAGTTGAACATGGGCAGATGAATAAAACTGTAAATACTAGCTTCATATAAAAAACACTCAGAAGTCAAAATATTCGTTTGAAACTCCCAAAACCTCGAGTTCATTCAGATTGATAAGGGAATATCAATTTTAGAGTAACTCGGCGGAACAGTTTAGGTGCTAGCGTTGACCACAGACGGACCAACAGGCAGACATTTTGCTTCCAATCGATTTTAGGAATCAAGGACCCACAAAACATGTATTCTGGCTACACCAAGTGTTAGAAGATTTTTTCTTTATTTAGCAACAGGATTTATACACTTTTTTGTTACAAGGGCTCGGCAATAAGAGATTTTCTGTCGAAAATTCGCAGTTTTCCGACGCACTGTCACATAACTTTCTCTTCTTACAAAGTATTTCGTAAGGCGAAAAAGTAAAAAAACTCTGACAGCTTCCCAGCCAAATTAAAGCCATAAAATTTCCTCTCTAACAAGATCCCACGCTGAAGCGATTGGACAATTTTGACAGTACCATATTACACGACATCTGGCAGCGAATAGGAGAGTCAATTTCAGACGCTTCAAGAGCTGATGTAGAGGCCAACATCCTCTACAGCAGCGCCGGACTTTTGCTTCAAGGGAAGCATCGATCGCAAAAGGCAGCATAATATTACCATACGACCGTTTCTCTATAAGTATTTCGAACGCAAACCTAATAAACCAAAAAGGCAAGCTGCGGCTTTGGATGGCGTAACTGTAGGAGAGTTAGAACAATTTTGTTGAGTTCAAACGAAGTCATGGGATTTGTTATACCAGAAAAAGTAAAAGAACGTGAAGTATAAAAATGTATCCGAGCAAAATTACTAATCACTCTGAAAGATTTCCCCTCTTAATCGACCAACCCTCTCAACGAATCAGTTTTCTTTATAACAGATGCTGAAACCCATTTATTATGTGCAAATTATACCTCCGTTAACAAACCATCTCTCTCCCCAGCCACCAACAAGTCTCTTAACAGCAATTTTCTTAATTTACAACTTTTAAGAGACTATATTCAGGAAAACTGTTATTATGCAGTGAATTTTCAGGAGTTAAAACAAAAATTTGTGACGGTGTCAAAAGCATTATCGAGGCATATCCTGTGCCTCAGCTTTTTTTTTTAGAATATTGGAGGCCGGGGAGATTCATGGAATGAAGTAACAACAAACCGCGGATCTTGATTTGGTATGATGGATGCTCAGTCTATTTCAGTTTCATTTGTTCTAATGAGACGATGGCGATGGATGTGAAAAAGACCTATTCAACTTTCAAAATTTGAATAAACAGTTCCTTCCCTTTCCTTTCCTTCCCTTCCCTTCCCTTCCCTTCCCTTCCCTTCCCAGGAGAACCTTACCGTACCTTCCGCGTTATTATTTGTGAGTTTGATATATTTCTAAGAATTTATTTTTAATATACTTTATGATTGGCAATCCTCGGTGGCGCGTTGGTTGGCGTGCTCGCTTTCCACCGCGGAACCTCAAATTCGATTCCCGGTCGGGGCAAAAATTAATTGTGCGTATTCCTTGCAATGTCTCAGTATCTGTTGTTGCGTGGCGATTAGAAAGCTCACTTCTCAGTGTGAGAAGACCAGAATACAGCGTAGGGATATCTATGTGCTACTCACACGTACTCCTTAACCATTGTCGGCAAGGTCGAGATGATTCTGGTAGACCTTAGCTCGTAAAGAGCTGTTGTGCCAAAGTATGTATATACTTATGATACATATATGTACATACTTTATGATGATGATGGTGGTGATGAGGTGGATAACGTTTGTGGTAAGGCGCTCACCGAGGAAGGACTTGTTCCACATGCGCTCCTGCGTGATGGCCGTGCCGTTGTAGATATCGCCGCCCTCCGACAGCGTCTCGTCGAGCGCCATGCCCAGCAGGAAGACGCCATCGTAGAACGCGCCCACGAAGAAGTTCACCTGCGCAGTTCACAGGCACGGAGCTCAGGAGTGGCTTGGCGACCGATATTTATTTATTTAGTTAGAGAGTTAGTTAAGAAGCTAGGAAATTATCCGTTAGGAAAGTTGAAACAAATGAGTTGTAGCTACAGATGAAACATGAGTGGAATTATTCCATGTGAAGATATATGTTATTCATATGATATTCATATATTGGAAAAAGAAAAACGTATTAAACGACACATGGCCGATAGCGTAAGCTTCGGCGGCCAGAGTCACTATCTACTTGGCTGTCCGAGAGTCGCCCCGTCCTAGGCACAGACACGAAAGTTTCGGCCATCTATCTGCAACCTTCTTCAGGGCGAAATGTGTGGGGATGAGCTGCGCAGAGAGAGTATATAGAGTAAGGTTTCTCTCTACTCAGCAGGCGATGGTGGGACTAGATCATTCAATGCGGAGAAACCCTAGATCAATCGGGGTTCGGGCCCCGTGGGCAGACGGGTAGAGGGGAATATAACAGCCCGTGCTCAATCCATACCCGCGCAAATAACGACGCTCTCGTGGTTCAGTGGCGAAGTCGCTTGCCTTTCACCACTGATGTTCTGGATTTGATTCTCATAGAGTCCCCGTAGAACCTCATGTGAAATTTGTAACGACAAAACGAGTTTGCGTGCTTCACTTGTCCAATCCCCTGTGTAATGTTCTAAACCCTACCCCTATTTTTATTCCTTCCGCGCGCTATCTATCGGCGATTCCATGACTTGACTATGTCTGACGTGACTATACAATACAATGACCCCTAGAGGGCTCCTTATTAACGGAGGATTACTCCAGTGCGCTCAACGCCTTTTACGGAGTTTGGAGACGCGACAAATATAGACGGAACAAATTAAGGGGGAAAAACGACAAACTCAATGCAATGAAGGTCGGAACATGACGGTGAAACGTTGACAGGTGCCTAGAACGCGACAAGTCTCCCGGTCAGCCAAATAGAAACAAACGTTATAGGTATAGGTATTCTGGTGAGTTATCGTTGGCATTTCCAATGAAATAATTATATGCGTCGTCATTGCCAACAATATTATTTATTAAAAAGCAGCTTTCGATGACTTAGCCATCATCATCAGTTTTCTCCTGTATGGAAGCCGTTTTTGTGGTAGTCGTTTTAGTGGCTTCCATACAGCAGAAAACTGACGATGATGGCTAAGCCATCTAAAGCTGCTTTTTTAATAAATGATATTGTTATGTATTGTTAAATAATATTGGAAGCCGTTGTTGTGGTAGTCGTTTTAGTGGCTTCCATACAGCAGAAAACTCATCCAAGCACTTGTTATGAGCGCATGTTTCTTTCGCTCTCAGGGAAAGCTGTAGCAATTCAGCCATTATTATCTAGTTTTTGAGAGGGGGCATCAGAGCCACGAATTTCAGGTATGGTTAATCTCTTTCCAATTGTTAGAAAATTTTGTTGATGGCGGTATGGGTATTTAAAAATAAGCTGTGTGAAGGAGAGATACACACTATGATTTTTTAATTTAGTGAAATATTATTTTATGTATTTTCGAGTGAACAAGTTTGGTGTGCAATACATACAACAACACACACACACACACACACACACACCACCACACCATCATCAGATCGAGCACACAGCGGTACTAACTACTGAGTGTATCTATATAACAGGGTAGTGATATATATATATATACTATATGAGTATTGCTGACGTTGAACCCGGACGAAAGAAACGTTTCCCGCATGATAAACAAGCAAAATTTGTATAGCACATCGAATTCTTGAAGTACAGCTTGTAGGGGTTGATAGCGTACTGGCCAAGCGTTTGCGATCCGCGTAGTAACCGCCGCGGGACCGCCTTCGCCCTTGCCGCTGCCAGACGTGGGTACCGTTTGGGTGGTTTGCGCTGCTGGCGCGACACGTCAAACCGGGGCACCATCGGAGCTGAGCAACGACGGTTGGACAGTAACCGGTGGCTGGACCGAGGTTTCGCGCGAGCTCCTTGGCAATCCTATTCCGCCGTCCCGTGGTTTGTGATTATGGGCCCGGCCGTCGTTGGTTTTGGGCGTTGGCTTCACGTGACGGGCTGGTGCTGCCCAAGCAAGTCTTCGTAGTTTTGGAGCCTATTACCCGATACGTGCTGCGAGACCTGGTATGTCCGTAGCTCATTAAGTGGGCCAGACTTTCATTGTAGGTTGCTAAAACTAGAGTTAATGCTAGATTTCCATGACGGCCTTACGAAACGGAAGTGGGCGCAGCCAGGACCGCGTTGACTTCCAGTGGACAAATTAGGTATCTTCGTTGATTGTTTAGTCGTGGAAGCCTAGACCAGAGGCACCGCCGTGTTCTCTATGTCCGGGCCTTCGGTGCCGTTGTGATGCAGCAGCGCCGGCTCCAGACGGATCCGCTTGTGGAATGTGTTCTTGGACGTGGGGGATTTGATGCAGCCTATACGGTTGTGATTCTGACGCTTGCGCCTCATTTTGGGACCGGGACGCCGGGAGGCGCGTGTGGCATAGTTAGTGATAATGTGACAATTGCTTGCATTGGCTGGGGTGGGTGGATCCCGGCGAGTTCGTTTGGCCATTGCAATCGGGACGGGTCCCGCGGAGCCGACCGCCGAGGGAGGGCGGGTTTCCGACAAAGCTTTGGCGGACCGAAGTTTGCCGAACACGGCCGCCGCCGTTGCCAAAGGCGGCCACGCTCGCCTCCAGCCAAGCCGGTGAATCGGAAGCTCAGTAGCGTTACTTCGTTGCACCGAATTATTAAAAGGCCTTGCGCACTGCTCGCTATTGTAAAGAATTTTGTTATATAGTGGTGGTCAATCATGTAAACTTTCCAATTGGCACAAAAGAAGTTCCCGTCGATCATTCTTCTAATGCAGCATCAATTCCCCCTGGA